GTTGGCAGAACTATTAATATAGAAGATGAAATCAGAGACCTCAGCAGTTAGAACAGCTGTTTATTCAATACGTAAAATTAATCTGGCCTTTTTGATGTTGCGTATGTTATGAATGTTTTTTTAAGTATATGCGAAATTTGTTTTTAATCTAGATTTCGTCTTTCATCATATTCTGAGCGAAGGCCATTACGTTGGAAACTGATCATTGTTTGATAATGTAATATATTTATAGTTAATAAAAACACTCTAAAGAGGTATCATATTTCATTTTAATTCCTTACCGCCGATAACCGTTTGAACTGAACGAGTTTTAATTTCCCTGATGTAAAAATAAGCCCCTGAAATATGTAAGGAAACTTTTACCTTTTTTATAAATCAATCAAAACCACAAGGAGTTTTGTGGAGCCACAATTTCAAAGAAATATTTCATTTGGAATTCTCACAGCGAAATATCAAATTGAAAGGCGCTTAGGTACGAAGAATAGCCCCTTGGTAACGTCCATTGATGAGTATTACAATATATATATGCCGGAGTTTACAATGTAACAGAGTTATTAACATTATCTTATACCATCTTTGTATTGGAAGATGATGTTCACTTACTTGTCTTTTTTACAATCTTCTAATCAAATTTTCCAAAGTTGACATAATACTGTAATGCACCAATTTCAGTTTTCTTCTTTATCACTATTGTCCATTACTCCCAAGCTCTCCAATCACATGCAAACTCCACAACAGTTATATTTATACCGCCTAGCAGAAGTGATCCAACTGGACATCAGTTTCCCGTGATTTACCTTTTTCCAAAATATTCAGTAATGAGAGCTTGAAATGCTCATGAACGTTCCAGAATATCTAGCCTCCTGTTAGTAAATGGATGTCAATTTTCAGATTCCTGACAGAGTACAACGGACGTGGATTCGCTTTCAATGCAAATTTTATCGACTGGTTCCTTGTGAATTAAAACTACAAATAAAAAAATTACCAACACGTAAAATAAATCATAATCCAAAGTCAAATGCAGTACACTTAAGGCAAAATATAAACTAATGATATAATCACTCCTGACGCCTAAAAAAGAACAAGGAGAATGAGACCATGTGTTCCGGAAGAGTAAGCGTCACGTGGTTAACATTATATCTCTGTAATTTAATTTCGTTGAGATATTTTTGGAAATTTATTGAGTTAGATATTCAACAAATTAGGAAGACACGATCGAATTTTCTACATAAGTCGATCTTTCCTACAAAGCTACAAAAATGGACAACTTTCCATAAAAATTGTACAAGTTTAATGATGCCATAAATTATCCATTGCTAGACATTAACAGCTCTGTAACAGTAGATTCGAAATTCCAGAGCTTGGTTCCAATACCACGATTTGTCGTAAGAGATTTGTACAGTGTTTACCCTTTGTACAATATTTGATGGAATATTAGAAAAGACTATATACAAAATTTTACATGTCCAGTTGGACAAGATGAGGGAGGAAAGGTCCTTAGGTCATGGAAATTCAGCGTTGTAGCATATACTCATTATCAGAAAGCTTGAAAGCAGTGGACAGAGATATCATAAGAAACCTAGACATAACGTTAAACGGAATAAGGAGATACACTGTAGAGAAAAACACAGCAAACCTGCTGGAAATATTAATTGATAGGCTCCGGACTGAGAAACGTTATGATTACCGGACTGATTACAGACCGGGGCTAAATTGTCCTCGTTTGTACACTGTCGTGTGATTACGCGGGGCACGCGCCATACTAACGAGCACGTTAACCTGACCGGGCAAACATCTTTAATGAGACGTTGTATGGCCAGGGGTCGATTCCACCGTACATAAACACCTTAGTCAGACTTACGTCATATCTGGCAGATGGTAACAGTTGATTTCTTTCGTGACCTGTTTTCTGTTTGTTAACGAGATGCTTTGGAGGTATTGTAACACGATGCAAATGGACACTATCATGTCACTATTCATTCGCATAGCAACCGTGCTTCAAATATTAATTTGTACTGTAGAGCAACAGGAATGAAAAAATGTTTGTCATGAAAGTTCTACAGCAGTAGTGTTGAGAGAATCGTTTTATACAAAACTTCAGGAAATAATGGCGGGAATATTAGTTTGTATAACAAAACAGGAGTGCTGAAAAATGTTAATTTCACCTTGTTTAGAATTAACAATTCAGTACTACAGAATAGAAATTGAAGTGAATTTATTTAATAATGATGTTTATCAACCTCCGCATTTAGATTTTAAATTCTGTATCGGTCAAACGTCGTCTTCTAGACTTCTAAGAAATTTACACAGGACGAATTTTTGCGAAATTCTGGATGACAATCTTTGTTAAGTTTAGAAAATAATATCTCACTTTAGTGCCCTAAAATCATTGAACTAATTCAAACTAAGATATTTGATTTTTCAGCGAAAGTATTTCAGTATGAACACACCATCTGGATCAGATAACCAAATGTATCAATATAGACAGTCCTAACACCTCTTTTCTGGACATCGACACATGATCTAATCATACTGGCGTCAATATGCCGTTTTATACTTTATTTGACGAGATGATTCAGTTTCATTTGGTATCATCCAACATCAACGCCTTGAGAAGTTTGTGTAAACTTACAGCATGTTGGTATCAAAGAACGAAGTGTGTTACCATAACGAACTTCTAGCCACTTTTACACATAGCAGTACTACTTATCTTTATCATAGTCTACAATGTGTTTTATCTAAACAGACAGTTGGCTTTGTGTAAGGTTTTACTGGGTCCGGAATCGTCACAACATCAGGGTGCCATGTCACTTACAGTGGTAAACTGACTATAAATGTCCCAACTACTACATTTAATGACAGATTCTCCCAAGTGCAATCTTATAAAAGTCAAATTAAAAACAGATTCAGTGAAATGACTGTCACTTTGTTTTCTGTTCCTACTATTTTTTTAAAAATCTTATTATTCTTGAAATTTCTTCTGAGATATTAGCTTGTAAATCTCTCTCACCACTAATCTCGTCCTAGTTAAAAGTTCTCATTCCGAGAGAAACTAGATATTACTGTCACTAAATGCCATCGCTGTGTTGCCACTCTGATACTGTTAAGGCACAGTATTTGTAACGATGCAGGCATAGAATTATCGAAGCACAGATCCTTAACAGCCAATCATTTCCTCAACTTGCAAACTAAATTATAGACTTTCAACTGAAATTTTAAAAATTTGCAGAGTACCCTATTAACTTTACATGATCCCATTTCTCCTCTATCCAGTATAATAAGGTTGTTTGTTGGAGCTCTGTAGAACAGAATAGTGGACCGAAAAATATAGACCTAACAAGGTACTGAAGATATTTGCAAAATACATGTTAAAGCCCCAGTATTGATTACAAATAAAACACTTAATGCAGAAAATGGAGTATCTAATCCAAGTGAGGTGAAAAATCTGGTCACAACGACCTACATCTACAACAACCTACATTTACAAGGACCTACATCTACAATGACCTACATCAGACATACCATAACATAGGTCACATTGACCTTCAGTGGGTATCATTGTGCAGTAAATAAAGATGTAGGTGACAAAGATCTAACTCAGACATTTCATGCTTCAAAATGTTTTATCAGTGATGATGATGTAGGCCATTTAAAGAAATGCTCAGTCTGCATGTCATACAGCTGGATTGACCAATGGAAAGTGTTGGCTCTTGAATGTACTCCACAGTTTTATGGCAACATTGCACACTGTTGTCCATCATGTAAACAAAACAAAGATTGCTTTCTTCTGTGTAAAAGTTTTAATTTGGGGAAGAAATGTATGAAGTTCCTCACTTGGATTCTAAACTAGAACTACACTGACATCAGTAACAGAAAATTACAATGATAAAGTTCAGAAAATAAAAAGATAAGACAATAATACTGAGAATTTTGGAATAAACCATTTTAAAGTTAACACAAGCCATATGATATGAAAACAGACTGAATTCCAATCTATTTTAATTAGAAAGTCTTTTCTAGCACAGCATGGATTTTATATAACTACTCAAATATTATTGCACTTTTATCAGCACATCACCTGAATGTACCATAGTGATCTAAAAACACATAAAACATGAGAATTAGAAACCTCAGTTGTGTAGATGAAGTCATTGGTTATATTAAAGAAATTACCTATCTTCTACTTTTCATCAAGATATCCTATTTATTTCAGCAGTAAGCAACACACATATTCTATATATCAAAACAAAGTAACTCTTTGTAATGTTACAAAGCAAGAGAACTCTCTGGCCATTGTTTATGATATATCTGGAAACTGCACATAAACCTGACTGTGCTTGGTGTATCTATTTCTCAGCCACTGCAACACCGTTCTAAATATAATTTTGACAGATGATGTATAGATTAGAGTAATTTCACTCTATATAATAAAGTTATTCTTATATTATTTTGTAAATCTGATCATTTGAAAACGTGTCACTTATCAGTTGAATGATTCCCAATACCTGAAACCTTTAAATCCAGTAAATATTAAAGATGAGATATGTGTTTCACATAGAACATAGATAGCAATAAAATTCCACAACACTTCACAACTGTAATAACTTGTGGCAGTAAACATTGCAATTTTCATGATTTACTTTATTTATCAAACTTTAAATTTTAAATCATTGAAATCCTCAGATTAAAACAGATTTCTCTTACAAAAAGGGTCCATTAGGCCTGTATCACACAGATCTCTGTTACAACAGAGGTCCATTAGGCCTGTATCACACAGATCTCTGTTACAACAGGGGTCCATAAGGCCTGTATCACACAGATCTCTGTTACAACAGAGGTCCATTAGGCCTGTATCACACAGATCTCTGTTACAACAGGGGTCCATAAGGCCTGTATCACACAGATCTCTGTTACAACAGAGGTCCATTAGGCCTGTATCACACAGATCTCTGTTACAACAGAGGTCCATTAGGCCTGTATCACACAGATCTCTGTTACAACAGGGGTCCATAAGGCCTGTAGGTCGTGGTCCGGCATAAGAGGCCACCTGCCGGACCAGGTCTCTGTTACAATAAGACCCCTCGCGCGCTTACATCCGGGCCAACAAGAGTGATTAGTATAAGTTGACATAACTTGTTTCGCAATTGTTGTAAAATAAATAAAGTTTATATATATATAAGGCCTGTATCATACAGGTCTCTGTTACAAAAGAGGTCTATAAGGCCTGTATTATAGAGGTCTCTGTTACATCAGGGCTCCATTAGGCCTGTATCACACAGATCTCTGTTACAACAGAGGTCCATTAGGCCTGTATCATACAGGTCTCTGTTACAAAAGAGGTCTATAAGGCCTGTATTATACAGGTCTCTGTTATAACAGGGGTCCATTAGGCCTGTATCGTACAGATCTCTGTTACAACAGGGGTCCATTAGGCCTGTATCATACAGGTCCTCTTTAGGCCTGTATCACACAGGTCCCTGTTACAACAGTGGTCCATAAGGCCTGTATCAAACAGGTCTCTGTTACAAAAGAGGTCTATAAGGCCTGTATTATACAGGTCTCTGTTACATCAGGGCTCCATTAGGCCTGTATCACACAGATCTCTGTTACAACAGGGGTCTATAAGGCCTGTATCATACAGGTCCCTGTTACAACAGGGGTCCATAAACCTGTATCATACAGGTCTCTGTTACAACAGGGGTCCATTAGGCCTGTATCACACATGTCCCTGTTACAACAGGGGTCCATTAGGACTGTATCACACAGATCCCTGTTACAACAGGGGTCCATAAGGCCTGTATCATACAGGTCTCTGTTACAACAGGGGTCCATTAGGCCTGTATCACACATGTCCCTGTTAGAACAGGGGTCCATAAGGCCTGTATCACACAGGTCCTCGTTACAACAGGGGTCCATAAGGCCTGTATCATACAGGTCTCTGTTACAACATGGCTCCATTAGGCCTGTACTGAAGTATTGTTTGTCAGGTGAACTAGGAAAGAATTTATCAATTCCAAAATATTATCAATAAGATATTTTCATTCAACAGAAAATTATCAATGAAGGGATGCTAAATTCTGTCCATCAACTCAAAAGCACTAAGAACAAGCAGGTTAGTTTAAGAAATTAAAAGTTGTCTAGCTAATCTTTCAAAAATATAACTTAAATGCAATTCGATTTTTTATTGAGTAAGAAAAACAGAAACTTGAAACACCAAGATCCAGGTGATAACAAGCAGATTTAATCTTGACAAGTCAGCGAGGAGCCGAGTTTTGAACAATGGAATGTAAAACATGTCAACATGTGTTCAACAACCACCATCATTCCTCAGATAAGTAACAAAATCAATGCATGCACCAGGCTTTATACAACTTCTTCTTTAAAAACACAAAACATTCCTCATCATATCATGTACACACATGAATGTTCACTTCATAACTTTTTAAAACCTTAATGAATGCCAATTCATTGTTTAATTTTAAAACTGTCATATCTATCTGATCCAGTATCGTATGTTGGAGTCAGGATGTATAATGTTTTATATAAATTCAAAAGCAAATTATACAAACAGAGAATATTTCTAAAACATTGAAGACACATTATGGAAAACCAAACCCCATAAAACTGACAATGATGTGATGTCCATGTCCCTTCACTACACAGTATCTCAATGACTCTTAATATCCAGATTCCCCCAGGACATAGTAACACTGACCCTCAACATTACGGTCATTTCACTATATAGTATCTCAATGACTCTTAATATCCAGATTCCCCCAGGACATAGTAACACTGACCCTCAACATTACGGTCATTTCACTATATAGTATCTCAATGACTCTTAATATCCAGATTCCCCCACGACATAGTAACACTGACCCTCAACATTACGGTCATTTCACTATATAGTATCTCAATGACTCTTAATATCCAGATTCCCCCAGGACATAGTAACACTGACCCTCAACATTACGGTCATTTCACTATACAGTATCTCAGTGTCCCCTAACATCTAGGTCCCTTCACTACACAGTGACTCCTAACACGACCCCTAACACTGTGGCCCCTTCACTACACAGTAACTCAGTGACCCCTAACATCTAGGTCCCTTCACTACACAGTGACTCCTAACATGACCCCTGACACTGTGGCCCCTTCATTACACTGTAACTCAGTGACCCCTAACACCCAGGTCTTTCTATTGCTAAGTATCAAATAGACCCCTAACACCCAGGTCTTTCTATTGCTAAGTATCAAACAGACCCCTAACACCCAGGTCTTTCTATTGCTAAGTACCAAACAGACCCCTAACACCCAGGTCCTTCTATTGTTAAGTACCAAACAGACACGTAACACCCAGGTCCTTCTATTGCTAAGTACCAAACAGACCCCTAACACCCAGGTCCTTCTATTGCTAAGTACCAAACAGACACTTAACACCCAGGTCCTTCTATTGCTAAGTACCAAACAGACCCCTAACACCCAGGTCCTTCTATTGCTAAGTACCAAACAGACCCCTAACACCCAGTTACCACAGTGAGCTCTTTCTATCATTCTATGAGACAGTTGTCTATGTGCTGATTGATTTCAGTATTACTTATTTTATTATCAAATTCCTTCCCACATACAGGACAGTTCATGTTAGGTTTGGCTTCCTTCTTTGCTGTAGCCTTGGCAAACATCGACATGATGTTTGATTGTCGTGGCCGTTTGGCTGTTCTGGAAGATGCCTCGTTCTCAGCACTGCGTTTCTTAGAAACATTTTGTTTTCCTGAGTTCGAATCTTGTTTTGAGACTTGATGACTATTGCCAGCTTGAGTTCTGCAGTTTGCATCTGCAAGTTCTGACTTTGGGATAATTACACAGTCAGACTTTGAGTTATTTCCCTTATCTGAACTTTCAAGGTCACTTGAACTTTTCCTTGTAGTTCCTGAATCAGAACTTGACTCAGATGACACATGTTTGTTATCACTTTCTGACAATTTATTAGCATCCTGGCTGGATTTCGTGATATTATCACAGTGAGGCGATAAGGAGCTACTTTCCTCCTCAATTGATTGTGCATCAAAGCTGGTCTCTGATGGAGAACTAAACACACAAGGCTTGGATTCACTTTTTTGGATATTTTCATTGATGCTCTCAGTCTTCTTCTGGCCAGCAGATTTGAAGAAAGTTTTAAGTGTAACAGGTGGTCTGAGAGCTCGAGCTAGAGACTTGCCATTAACTTCAGTAACTTCCTCCACAACCAATGATCTCACTTCCTGTTTCCCATCATCCTCTGCACCACTTCCTGAAGCCTCACATCCACTGGTAGCAACACTACCATCTGGGTTTCGCATCATTACCTAGAAATATAATCACAGCTCACTGCATAACTGAATCACACCTACAAGATGTATATTGAACTGTAATTTAATTATGTTCCCAGAATGCCTTCTGATTTGTTTGTTTACAACTATATAACAATATTAAATAAAGGTAATATTCATAGAAAACACATAAAAAACAATGACATACAACAATCATGTAATACCGGACATCAACGTTACATTTGATACATGTGACTAGAAATACAACATGTTTATATTTAATTATTTGAAGATTACAAATTTCAGTGAGAACTAAATACTGACTTTCAGTGAGAACTAAATACTGACTTTCAGTGAGAACTAAATACTGACTTTCAGTGAGAACTAAATACTGACAGTGAGAACTAAATACTGACAGTGAGAACTAAATACTGACTTTCAGTGAGAACTAAATACTGACAGTGAGAACTAAATACAGACTTTCAGTAAGAACTAAATACTGACAGTGAGAACTAAATACTGACAGTGAGAACTAAATACTGACTTTCAGTGAGAACTAAATACTGACAGTGAGAACTAAATACTGATTTTCAGTGAAAACTAAATACTGACAGTGAGAACTAAATACAGACAGTAAGAACTAAATACTGACAGTAAGAACTAAATACTGACTTTCAGTGAGAACTAAATACAGACAGTAAGAACTAAATACTGACTTTCAGTGAGAACTAAATACTGACAGTAAGAACTAAATACTGACTTTCAGTGAGAACTAAATACTGACTGTAAGAACTAAATACTGACAGTGAGAACTAAATACTGACAGTGAGAACTAAATACTGACAGTAAGAACTAAATACTGACAGTGAGAACTAAATACTGACAGTGAGAACTAAATACTGATTTTCAGTGAAAACTAAATACTGACAGTGAGAACTAAATACAGACAGTAAGAATTAATACTGACAGTGAGAACTAAATACTGACTTTCAGTGAGAACTAAATACTGACTTTCAGTGAGAACTAAATACTGACAGTGAGAACTAAATACTGACAGTAAGAACTAAATACTGACAGTGAGAACTAAATACTGACAGTGAGAACTAAATACTGACAGTGAGAACTAAATACTGACAGTAAGAACTAAATACTGACTTTCAGTGAGAACTAAATATGACTCAGACTAAATACTGACAGTGAGAACTAAATACTGACAGTGAGAACTAAATACAGACAGTGAGAACTACATACTGACAGTAAGAACTAAATACTGACAGTGAGAACTAAATACTGACAGTGAGAACTAAATACAGACAGTGAGAACTAAATACTGACTTTCAGTAAGAACTAAATACTGACAGTGAGAACTAAATACAGACAGTGAGAACTAAATACTGACAGTGAGAACTAAATACTGACAGTGAGAACTAAATACTGACAGTGAGAACTAAATACAGACTTTCAGTAAGAACTAAATACTGACTTTCAATAAGAACTAAATACAGACAGTGAGAACTAAATACTGACAGTGAGAACTAAATACTGACAGTGAGAACTAAATACTGACAGTGAGAACTAAATACTGACTTTCAGTAAGAACTAAATACTGACAGTGAGAACTAAATACTGACTTTCAGTGAGAACTAAATACTGACAGTAAGAACTAAATACTGACAGTAAGAACTAAATACTGACTTTCAGTGAGAACTAAATACTGACAGTAAGAACTAAATACTGACTTTCAGTGAGAACTAAATACTGACAGTAAGAACTAAATACTGACTTTCAGTAAGAACTAAATACTGACTTTCAGTGAGAACTAAATACTGACTTTCAGTAAGAACTAAATACTGACAGTAAGAACTAAATACTGACTTTCAGTAAGAACTAAATACTGACAGTAAGAACTAAATACTGACTTTCAGTAAGAACTAAATACTGACAGTAAGAACTAAATACTGACAGTGAGAACTAAATACTGACTTTCAGTGAGAACTAAATACTGACAGTAAGAACTAAATACTGACAGTAAGAACTAAATACTGACAGTGAGAACTAAATACTGACAGTAAGAACTAAATACTGACAGTGAGAACTAAATACTGACAGTGAGAACTAAATACTGACAGTGAGAACTAAATACTGACTTTCAGTGAGAACTAAATACTGACAGTGAGAACTAAATACTGACTTTCAGTGAGAACTAAATACTGACTTTCAGTGAGAACTAAATACTGACTTTCAGTAAGAACTAAATACTGACAGTAAGAACTAAATACTGACTTTCAGTGAGAACTAAATACTGACTTTCAGTGAGAACTAAATACTGACTTTCAGTGAGAACTTTCAGTGAGAACTAAATACTGACTTTCAGTAAGAACTAAATACTGACAGTAAGAACTAAATACTGACAGTGAGAACTAAATACTGACAGTGAGAACTAAATACTGACTTTCAGTGAGAACTAAATACTGACAGTAAGAACTAAATACTGACTTTCAGTGAGAACTAAATACTGACTTTCAGTAAGAACTAAATACTGACAGTGAGAACTAAATACTGACTTTCAGACTTTGACAGTGAGAACTAAATACTGACAGTAAGAACTAAATACTGACAGTAAGAACTAAATACTGACTTTCAGTGAGAACTAAATACTGACTTTCAGTAAGAACTAAATACTGACAGTAAGAACTAAATACTGACTTTCAGTGAGAACTAAATACTGACAGTGAGAACTAAATACTGACAGTAAGAACTAAATAATGACAGTGAGAACTAAATACTGACTTTCAGTGAGAACTAAATACAGACAGTGAGAACTAAATACTGACAGTGAGAACTAAATACTGACAGTGGGAACTAAATACTGACAGTAAGAACTAAATACAGACTTTCAGTGAGAACTAAATGCTGACAGTAAGAACTAAATACAGACTTTCAGTGGGAACTAAATACTGACTTTCAGTGATAACTAAATACTGACTTTCAGTAAGAACTAAATACTGACAGTAAGAACTAAATACAGACTTTCAGTGAGAACTAAATACTGACAGTGAGAACTAAATACAGACTTTCAGTGAGAACTAAATACTGACAGTGAGAACTAATTACTGACTTTCAGTGAGAACTAAATACTGACTTTCAGTAAGAACTAAATAGTGACAGTGGGAACTAAATACAGACTTTCAGTGAGAACTAAATACTGACAGTGAGAACTAAATACTGTCCCTCAGTGAGAACGAAATACTGTCCTTCAGTGAGAACTGAATTCTGACTATCAGTTTTCTGTGGCTTGAAATTTTCTCTATGTTCAATCTTCCCAGGAGAATTTTAAAAAGCTAGGAAGCATAAAAATGATTTTTTTAATCGTAACTTGAGATTGTGTACTTAAAGCTGAAACTCTAATTTCCAGTTGGGTATGAATCCCACTTGACATGATAAGATTTCACATGACTGATATAGTGTACCCAGTAATCCAGCAATGATTTGAAGGCAGAAAGAAGAACATGCGTTTTAATTAGCTAACCCTGTTACAGGCTAACAATGTTTTATGTATGGGAGACTATCATTCACTCATCAGACTTTTTATTTTATCTAATGTTCTTAAACTAATCAATACATGAGAAGCTTTGTTGGATTTCCAACAGTTTAACACTTAAAATTCTGGCATAAATGATTTAAAATCTACTGTAAGCCATCAAATTCAATTATGTTAAACTTCCAAATCAGTCTTTGGAGTTTTAACCTAAACACTGAGCTTGGTAACAAAATCAGCTATTGACTGGAGCAAACTTAAATTGATTTGTCGTAACCTGCCACAGAAAAAGTTGTCACTACGAAGTCAGAATCCAATATGGTTTAGAGAAGCCAAAGTGCGCTCTGTAGAGATCTCTCCTTACCCGCAGTGTAGTCTTAAACTACTGATGTTTGGAAATCAATGTCAAAAATTAGTCAATTATCATCAGTTATAAGAGGCCTACTTAATGACCCTGATTGATGTAGCAGCTTAAGATGTGTACAGAGTTTCTTTTGAAGACGGAGTGGTGCTTGCTCCGATAACCACGATTACTAGCGGGAGTTTTTACAACATGCTCTCGCACAGTTTCCAAATCGAAACACTAATTACAGACAGTCATCAATTTTCACATGGAAGATTATGTTTCAGCTCATAATTAAAACAAATTAATAGTCAAAATGATTTCCAATGTCCCAGATGTCGAAGTTGTGATGACACATGAACATCTAAATAGGCACCATTGAATAAATGATAGGAAATCACCGATACTGAAACACAGAAAATGAACGTCCTGAAGATGAATAACGGTGAATGGAAAAGACAGAAAATAACTAATGTTATTTACGATGTGATAAAGGTGACTGACGGTTCGTTCCAACAGGTGTACAGTGTTTGCTATTATAATGAGTCATTTTTTAATTCATGATTGATGGTTATTTAAGTTGACAAAGCTAAAGTTGTTTGAGAACAACATAGATCGCCTATTGATAACATATTGCATGCACTGGTAAATACGAATTTACCCGGTTGGGCCCCACAACTACAACAAATATAGTTCAGCATATTGCCAATAATCCGTATACTTGCCTGAACTTTGGAAATTTTGAAGATATTTTTGATCCAGTACTGCTTGAAAACACTTGCTCAACAAGAAGCCCAAAGCCTCTATATATATATGATATGATAGTGGCTCAATGGGTTTAAGTTGTTCACCTGTTCAACTGCATACACAGAAGACTGTCAGTTCATGTCACTATCTGTAAACTTGAAATCCTATTCCTGAACCATGCTACTACAAAAATACCATGACTCTGGACCTATTGCTTGTTAAAAGAAGAAATTTGAAGTTCTTAACACATTTGACCCAAAGGACCTTGAAAGTAGGTCAAGTCAAACATTTGGACAAACTTTGTATCCCTTCATTCCAGGATGCTACAGGCCCAATATCAGCACCCTGGACCTTTTGCTTATTGAGAAGTTGTTTGAAATGTTTAAAACATTTGAACCCTGTATCCTTGAAAGTTGGTCAAGGTCATTCATTTGAATACATTTGGTAGCCCTACATCCAAGCATGCTACAGGCCTAATATCAATACCCTGGACCTTTTGATTATTGAGAAGCAGTTGTTTGAATGGAAAGTTTATGTGTGATGGACGCTGCATGATGACGGATAAAACATTTTAACAGAGATCATGTAGGATATTAGTTACAACTTCATTCAGCCTTTCAAGAAAAGAAGCTAACTTTCAGTCATACCAAACAACAAAATCAGATTACAAGACACTTGGAGATAAAATGGTGATTCATAAATAAATATTTTCATTTTATTGATACTAAATTTCCAGTTGTTAATACATGCCAGGTTAAACAAATTCTATACAGTATAAGATTTCTGATCTTAAATTTAAAACAAATTACCAGATTTGTCATATGGACCACAAGTTTACTATATATTGAATTTGACAATACAATTCCTGATCCTGAGTCAGATCTACAAGATTTTACCAGTCACTGATATACCTAGGCTCCACCATGTACTTCTCCACCATGTACTGATATACTTACAGACTGAGAGAGATGTACTTCTCCACCATGTACTGATATACTTACAGACTGAGAGAGCTGTACTTCTTCACCATGTACTGATATACTTACAGACTGAGAGAGCTGTACTTCTCCACTGTGTACTGATATACTTACAGACTGAGAGATCTGTACTTCTTCACCATGTACTGATATACTTACAGACTGAGAGAGCTGTACTTCTCCACTGTGTACTGATATACTTACAGACTGAGAGAGCTGTACTTTTTCCGTGTACCAATATACTTACAGACTGAGAGAGCTGTACTTTTTCCACCATGTACTGGTCCTTGAGGACTTTCTCTACTTCAGACAGAAGGATGACAGGGTAGCGAACTCCCACCACCCTTTCCCCACTGTCTAATTGTACACGTACAACACGAACAGACGACTCAGATTTACTGTAATATAAAGGATAACTTTATCATAGCGAATCTGTCTAGGAATCCGACTTAATGTACCCACACAATAGACATATACACCAATCAAATTTATTGTACCCACACTAAACATACAGATGACTCAGACTTTCTGTACCCACACTAAATGTACAGATAACTCAGACTTTCTGTACCCACTAAATGTACAGATAACTCAGACTTTCTGTACCCACACTAAACATACAGATAACTCAGACTTTCTGTACCCACACTAAACGTACAGATAACTCAGACTTTCTGTACCCACACTAAACATACAGATAACTCAGACTTTCTGTACCCACACTAAACATACAGATAACTCAGACTTTCTGTACCCACACTAAACGTACAGATAACTCAGACTTTCTGTACCCACACTAGATGAACAGATAACTAAGACTTTCTGTACCCACACTAAACAAGCAACATATGCAATAAGGATTATGCAAATATACTGCTATTTTGAATAATACATGCAATATGTAAGAGTGACTATCATACAACGAAGATTTTTCAGATTATGCTGTTTAGTCAAATGCATTGACTTGAAAGATCAATTACCTCTATTCTATGTGTGACACTCCTGAGTATATACAGCACAACCTCACCTCCCCAAACGTGTATTCCTTGCATATTCCCTATTCATCAAACTGATCTCTTGCTTGTGACCATGTCCTTATACAATCATGGTTATTTCACAATAATTAACTTGAGTCACTGTTCTACGAAAATCCGTCATCCATTAAACATGTTTCATCACTTCACTATGTGTTCACAAAATGACACCTATCCAATGACGAAACGGGTGTCTTATCTGACAGTTTTTTATTTTACCTTGGTCACACATGAGAATGTTGGATTGGTTGAGGTGTTCGCCACGACACAATTAAAGTCTGTACCACCACGTATATGTACAGTAGCATTTCTAGTCATCCCTACATGCCAAATTTTGTGGAAATTGGACACCATGTAAATTTAAACCAAGCAGAAGCCACTAGGTGGCCATTTTGTCCAATCAGAAAACAGGTGTCACCATTGTTTCTATTGCCATATCTACTTATAAACCATTTACATTAAAATCGGACATCATCTTAATTCTCCAACAAGTTCCCAATTTTGTACTGCAATAGTTTTTAAACTAGAAAATATTCTGTTTGTCAAGTCGACTTTAGTTGGAAAAAAAACCTCTCAAAACAATTACCAGGTATATTGGAAACGTTTGAGGTAATTCTGTATAGGATCATAGTAATGGTGCTTCATGCCCATGTCTTAATCATGAAAATGAAAGGTATGAAATCAATCACAGGTGGACACCAGTCATTCATAGGATATTAATATCATGATAGTCTAGAACCTCTGATTACCCAAAAACCTCTCATTTCTGAAACTAATCACTTCATCCAAATGAGTATAAATTAGTGGAGTTTGGTTGTATAATGTACTGACCTGAGGTTGAGTTTGGAGGAAAACCGGTTCAGGGTGGCTTCTAGTACAGACATTAGTGAGACAATACTTCCACACACTAAGTGAATGTTGTAACACCTTTTGCCAACTGTAAAATCAAAGAAATGACTTAACACAACCTTCCTGGTCAAGGGAGGTAACACATGACAGCTAGTCATATCAAGGGGGGTAATACATGTCAGTTGGTCATATTAAGGGAGGTAATTCATGTCAGTTCAGGGGAGTAATACATGACAGTTGGTCAAGTCATTGGAGTAATACATGACCGTTGGTCAGATGTGGGGAGGGTATACATGTCATTTGGTTATTTCAAGAGTGGTAAAACAGGGTCATATAAGGGTAGGTTATACAAATGTTTACATGTCATGTCAAGGGAGGTAAAACATGTCAGATGGTCATATCAAGGGAGGTAATACATGTCAGTCATTCATATCAGAGGAGGTAATTAATGTTTGTTGGTCAAGTCAGACGAGGTAATACATGTCTGTTGGTTAAGTTAGGGGAGGTAATACATGTCAGTTATTCATATCAAGGGAGGTAATACATATAAGGTATTCATATCAAGGAAGGTAACACATGTCAGTTATTCATATCAAGGGAGGTAATACATGTCAGTCATTCATATCAGGGGAGGTAATACATGTTTCTTGGTCAAATCAGGGAAAGCATGTCAGTTAGTCATATCAAGAGAGGTTATACCTATCAGTTGGTTAAGCCAGGGGAGATAACACATGTCCTTGGGTCAAGGGGGAGTTAACATGTCAGTCTTCCATTTCTGCAGAGACAACAAACATTTTCTGATCAGGTAGAATGTTTATCCAATTTTCATGTTCTTTTTCAAGAGGACAACAGACACATGATAGAAGCTGTTTATCCCAACACTCAACAATTACTGTCTCTGATATAATGAAGTATTGCATTTTCCCCAATCATGCATCAAGTGATTGAAGCCAGACCTTATCACAGAAGGTCAATAAAATACTGTTGTTAAAGTTAAAAGACCACTTTGGTGGGTAGGATGATGTCCAGAATGGCCTCCATTACCTGAGATTTCTTCTAGTTGTCTCTATCTAATGGTGGTACATTACATGGACAATTATGGAGAGCAGTTTCCATGTCATTCATTGACAAGTGTAACTATTTCATAATACCAAAAGGTCTAGACAAGATGGCTAGAGTAAACTAGAAATAAGGGTTAGAGACGCAGAGCCCCTCATCAACCTTTCAATGATTGTTACTGACCAAATGATATCTATAATTACTCATTGTCTTCTAACATCCATTACTAAATCAATAAAAAACAATTTAAACTAGAGGATGTCTGTAACACATGCATATCCCTGCTTCTATACATGTAAGTCTCATTTTAAATAAAGTTTCAGAAGTTGTCAAATTTGACCTTTGACCTTGTAACATTGACTGTTGACCTCCCTAATATAATAAGGTTTAGAAGTTGATGTTATAACACTATGGGAGTAAATGTGAACTAAATTTGTTCGGAGGTGATCAAGATTTAATACTGATTCTGAATGGGACACCATGCAATATATTGACATCAGTTACACCAGGCGCCTCGTTTCCCCAACTAAAATGGAAGTCAAACATCCATATGAAATCTAGTAAGTGAAAATAAAAGACAGTCCTGAGAAAAGGTTTCTATACTTGCTTTTGTTTCTGTAGATAAAAATACCTTACAGAATTAATCCTGGTTTTTTCCACCATGTGACCTTGACGTTCGACAGATTTCGTTAAAGGTATAACTTTGAGTACTACACCTATCAAATCAGTCAATTTTGACAAATACACTGATGCAGTTCATGAGTTGTGATATAAAATCTGAGTAACCATTTCCAATTTATTTTCATTTATCCAGTTAATTTCAAAATTAAACATTCACAACCAGGCATTGAGAAACCTACATTTAAAGTTTGAGAAAGATCCTTTGTGACCTACGCAAGAAATTGTGATAAAAAGAACTTTAAAGGACAAATGGACTGCAGATAAATTGTGGGCATAGGACAAACAATGGACAAAAGAGTAATTTTAACCATCCATCATATTGTAAAGATCTAAAATCACCTTTATCTACACTAAGAGGTTATTGTAAACTTCACTTTCTCAAATGTGTCCTGTCCTCAGGAGGACCAGTCCCTCTCTTTTATATGAAATTTAGTCCTATAAACCTAATTAAGGAGGACCAGTCCCTCTCTTTTATATGAAATTTAGTCCTATAAACCTAATTAAGGCATTTATTTTATATGAAATTTAGTCCTATAAACCTAATTAAGGAGGACCAGTCCCTCTCTTTTATATGAAATTTAGTCCTATAAACCTAATTAAGGAGGACCAGTCCCTCTCTTTTATATGAAATTTAGTCCTATAAACCTAATTAAGGAGGACCAGTCCCTCTCTTTTATATGAAATTTAGTCCTATAAACCTAATTAGTCCCTCTCTTTTATATGAAATTTAGTCCTATAAACCTAATTAAGGAGGACCAGTCCCTCTCTTTTATATGAAATTTAGTCCTATAAACCTAATTAAGGAGGACCAGTCCCTCTATTTTATATGAAATTTAGTCCTATAAACCTAATTAAGGCATTTTCTTTCTGCACCAGCAGTGTCTATAAAGCTATTCATTGTGTTTTACAAACAACAGAGGAAAAATCATTGAGCTCCACAAATTACTTGTCTGACAGAACAAAAGAAGGCTTTACTTGTGTTACAATAAACTTTACCTGTGTTACAGGACAATAGAAGACTTTACTTGTGTTACAGGACAATAGAAGACTTTACTTGTATTACAGGACAATAGAAGACTTTACTTGTATTACAGGACAATAGAAGACTTTACTTGTGTTACAGGACAATAGAAGGCTTTACTTGATAAGACAATAGACTTAACTTGTGTTACAGGACAATAGAAGACTTCACTTTTCTTACAGGACAATAGACTTTACTTGTCATACAGGACAACAGACTTTACTTGTCATACAGGACAATAGACTTTACTTGTCATACAGGACAATAGAAGACTTTACTTGTGTTACAGGACAATAGACTTTACTTGTCATACAGGACAATAGAAGACTTTACTTGTCTTACAGGACAAAAGAATCTTACCTTTACAGCGACGACCATTCTTACAAGAGTTTCCATGGATACACTGGTTCAGAGTTTGTTCATACAGCTCCGTCCATGCCTTCTCTGTAACATACGGTCATTCTACATGTATAAACATGTAAACAAAACCTACCCATATACAAAAGTTCAGATGATCATGTGTACACTGAAATGTAAGCTAACTTGTTGAAAGTGACAAATGTGGTCACTGAAATATTCTGAACAAGAGATCCTGGTGCCCACCATTATATCACCTTTATCGGTTTGATACTTTTTGTTCAAATAAAGTTGTAAACGGTTACATCACTGTTTCCTCATCAGAGGTGTTGGCTACTCTTTATGGTATTTTTTTCCAATATATTTTTCAGATAAGCTGAATTTTGTCTGCGATCCTGCCCTTGCCTCGACCATCACCATAGATACGATCCTCATGTCCACACTACTGTTACTCCTCGTACCCATCATCTTGTGAGGAGACAACGTTGCGACATCAAAGCACATAAGATGTCAATCATCAGGGATTTCCTCAAAATCACCATTCCCATGTTTTGCAAAGAAACAACGAAAATTCAACATCCTATGAATAATGACCCAAACATAAAACCTACTGGGCCAAATCTAGTGCAGTAAACAGAGGGATCCCGGGGATCACAGGTCAAAGGTCAAGGATTTGGGGATGACAGGAGATACAACAGGCTGTACAGCTATGGGTGTGAGACAAACACATATTCATATGGACAGAATCTGGAGGAAAGTTGGCAAACAGTACTAGACATCCAAGTTAGAATGTAGCCTGCATAAAGTCAAAGAAATATCACAATGAATGAATCCACGAAAACTTCAATATGAGCCATATGCAGAACTGGTGACATTGAATGATAATATGAAAACAGATCATCAGAAGGAACGAAAATTAATGACGTGAATGGCTCTGATGTTTATTACTGCCTCAAATAGCGAACATAAACCAATACATCAACAATGTATAAAGAAATTCTCTGTATGCAAATTAACATTTGAAATCTTCACTGTAAACTTGTAAGTACCAATTATTCTGACGCTCTATGAATGTCAGAATAACTTGCACTATGTGAACTTGTGTAACAGCAATAACAGATGATTCCTGGTATAGTTCTGATGTTTACATTGTTACAGTGTGTTTGTTGGTATATAGTTCATTTATCCTTTGTCTGTTTATTGTTAACTTTTGGATATTTTATGTTAGAAAATAAAGAAAATAGATATTTTACATTTTATGTGCTTCATCCCATGTACTACATGGTTTTATGTGCTAAATCCCATGTACTACATGGTTTTAGGTGCTAAATCCCATGTACTACATGGTTGTATGCTCTACATCCCCTGTGCTACATGGTTTTATGGTATAGTCCCATACTTCATTGTTATATCTGGTAACACAAGGAATGATAAAACACTGATTGTAAGTTTACCAATTACTGATCCTACAGACACATAACAGTACTGATCCTACAGATATATAACAGTCAGGTGTAAGTTTACCAATTACTGATCCTACAGACATATAACAGTCAGGTGTAAGTTTACCAATTACTGATCCTACAGACACATAACAGTACTGATCCTACAGATATATAACAGTCAGGTGTAAGTTTACCAATTACTGATCCTACAGACATATAACAGTACTGATCCTACAGATATATAACAGTCAGGTGTAAGTTTACCAATTACTGATCCTACAGACACATAACAGTACTGATCCTACAGATATATAACAGTCAGGTGTAAGTTTACAATTACTGATCCTACAGACACATAACAGTACTGATCCTACAGATATATAACAGTCAGGTGTAAGTTTACCAATTACTGATCCTACAGACACATAACAGTACTGATCCTACAGATATATAACAGTCAGGTGTAAGTTTACCAATTACTGATCCTACAGACACATAACAGTACTGATCCTACAGATATATAACAGTCAGGTGTAAGTTTACCAATTACTGATCCTACAGACACATAACAGTACTGATCCTACAGATATATAACAGTCAGGTGTAAGTTTACCAATTACTGATCCTACAGACACATAACAGTACTGATCCTACAGATATATAACAGTCAGGTGTAAGTTTACCAATTACTGATCCTACAGATATATAACAGTCAGGTGTAAGTTTACCAATTACTGATCCTACAGACACATAACAGTACTGATCCTACAGATATATAACAGTCAGGTGTAAGTTTACCAATTACTGATCCTACAGACACATAACAGTACTGATCTACAGATATATACAGTCAAGTGTAAGACTGATACAGACACATAACACTGTACAGACACAGTACTGATCCTACAGATATATAACAGTCAGGTGTAAGTTTACTGATCCTACAGACACATAACAGTACTGATCCTACAGATATATAACAGTCAGGTGTAAGTTTACCAATTACTGATCCTACAGACATATAACAGTACTGATCCTACAGATATATAACAGTCAGGTGTAAGTTTACCAATTACTGATCCTACAGACACATAACAGTACTGATCCTACAGATATATAGGTGTAAGTTTACCACTGATCCTACAGACACATAACAGTACTGATCCTACAGACACATAACATTACTGATCCTACAGACACATAACAGTACTGATCCTACAGATATATAACAGTCAGGTGTAAGTTTACCAATTACTGATCCTACAGACACATAACAGTACTGATCCTACAGTTTACCAATATATAACAGTCAGGTGTACCAATTACTGATCCTACAGACACATAACAGTACTGATCCTACAGATATATAACAGTCAGGTGTAAGTTTACCAATTACTGACTACAGACACATTACTGATCCTACAGACACATAACAGTACTGATCCTACAGATATATAACAGTCAGGTGTAAGTTTACCAATTACTGATCCTACAGATACATAACAGTACTGATCCTACAGATACATAACAGTACTGATCCTACAGACACATAACAGTACTGATCCTACAGATATATAACAGTCAGGTGTAAGTTTACCAATTACTGATCCTACAGACACATAACAGTACTGATCCTACAGATATATAACAGTCAGGTGTAAGTTTACCAATTACTGATCCTACAGACACATAACAGTACTGATCCTACAGATATATAACAGTCAGGTGTAAGTTTACCAATTACTGATCCTACAGACACATAACAGTACTGATCCTACAGATATATAACAGTCAGGTGTAAGTTTACCAATTACTGATCCTACAGACACATAACAGTACTGATCCTACAGATATATAACAGTCAGGTGTAAGTTTACCAATTACTGATCCTACAGACACATAACAGTACTGATCCTACAGACATATAACAGTCAGGTGTAAGTTTACCAATTACTGATCCTACAGACACATAACAGTACTGATCCTACAGACACATAACAGTACTGATCCTACAGACACATAACAGTACTGATCCTACAGACACATAACAGTACTGATCCTACAGACACATAACAGTACTGATCCTACAGACACATAACAGTACTGATCCTACAGACACATAACAGTACTGATCCTACAGATATATAACAGTCAGGTGTAAGTTTACCAATTACTGATCCTACAGACACATAACAGTACTGATCCTACAGATATATAACAGTCAGGTGTAAGTTTACCAATTACTGATCCTACAGACACATAACAGTACTGATCCTACAGACATATAACAGTCAGGTGTAAGTTTACCAATTACTGATCTTACAGACACATAACAGTACTGATCCTACAGATATATAACAGTCAGGTGTAAGTTTACCAATTACTGATCCTACAGATACATAACAGTACTGATCCTACAGATATATAACAGTCAGGTGTAAGTTTACCAATTACTGATCCTACAGACACATAACAGTACTGATCCTACAGATATATAACAGTCAGGTGTAAGTTTACCAATTACTGATCCTACAGATACATAACAGTACTGATCCTACAGATATATAACAGTCAGGTGTAAGTTTACCAATTACTGATCCTACAGATACATAACAGTACTGACCCTACAGATATATAACAGTCAGGTGTAAGTTTACCAATTACTGATCCTACAGATATATAACAGTCAGGTGTAAGTTTACCAATTACTGATCCTACAGATACATAACAGTACTGATCCTACAGATATATAACAGTCAGGTGTAAGTTTACCAATTACTGATCCTACAGATACATAACAGTACTGACCCTACAGATATATAACAGTCAGGTGTAAGTTTACCAATTACTGATCCTACAGATATATAACAGTCAGGTGTAAGTTTACCAATTACTGATCCTACAGATACATAACAGTACTGATCCTACAGATATATAACAGTCAGGTGTAAGTTTACCAATTACTGATCCTACAGACATATAACAGTCAGGTGTAAGTTTACCAATTACTGATCCTACAGACACATAACAGTACTGATCCTACAGATATATAACAGTCAGGTGTAAGTTTACCAATTACTGATCTTACAGACACATAACAGTACTGATCCTACAGATATATAACAGTCAGGTGTAAGTTTACCAATTACTGATCTTACAGACACATAACAGTACTGATCCTACAGATATATAACAGTCAAGTGTAAGTTTACCAATTACTGATCCTACAGACACATAACAGTACTGATCCTACAGACACATAACAGTACTGATCCTACAGATATATAACAGTCAGGTGTAAGTTTACCAATTACTGATCCTACAGACACATAACAGTACTGATCCTACAGATATATAACAGTCAGGTGTAAGTTTACCAATTACTGATCCTACAGACACATAACAGTACTGATCCTACAGACACATACCAGTACTGATCCTACAGATATATAACAGTCAGGTGTAAGTTTACCAATTACTGATCCTACAGACACATAACAGTACTGATCCTACAGATATATAACAGTCAGGTGTAAGTTTACCAATTACTGATCCTACAGACACATAACAGTACTGATCCTACAGATATATAACAGTCAGGTGTAAGTTTACCAATTACTGATCCTACAGACACATAACAGT